GGCCTGGAGGGTGGTGAGGGTTCGAATCTCCACGGGGAGTTCGTTCCAGAGGGTCGGAGCAGCCACAGAGAAGGCTCTCCTCCGAGTAGTCGCCTCAAACCTCAAAGATTAGGGGGACATGGCCCTGATTGCAGACCTTTGAAACACTCCATCCTTGGACTCCTATGCTCCTCTTCTCCCTCATTTAAAAGATTCTTATTCCAGAAACAAAACTTCCGAAAACAAAAAAGCATTTAACTCTTTAACTCGTTTCCCCCAAAGTTATCATCTATCGTATTTTTTGGATTATAAGACACACCTTTTTCCCTCAAAAAAAGAGGCTGAAAATCTGGGTGCATCTTATACGCTGAATACAGCGTTTTTTGCCTCCCGAAAGCCCACCCCTTCACCAAAATGGCCATGCATAGCCTTTAGGAGGCTTCCAGAGTGCTCCTGAGGGCTGGGGAGGGCAGAAATGAGCAAAAAATGGGTATTTGTTTGCTCAATTTTGCCCCCCCAGCCCCCAGGAGCACTCTATAAGTCTCCTAAAGGCTATGCATGCCCTTTTTTTTGACAAAAAATGGGCCTATTTTCACAAAAAATGGGCTGTTTTTTGCTTGTTTTTTGCCCCCACCCCACCCCCAGGAGTATTCCAAAGCCTCCTAAAGGCTATTCATGCCCTTTTTTTGGAAAAAAAAAACCACCGGGCCCATTTCTGCGAAAAGTGGGCCATTTTTAGGAGGTCTGCAGAGTGCAGAAACTTTTTTTTTAATTCCAAAATTTTGGTGCGTCTTATACTCCAGTGTGTCTTATACTCTGAAAAATATGGTAGTTACTTTATGCCTCAGAATCGGTGGACAACTGGCTCACATGGTTCCTTTTATCCCCACACAATCATTTCTGGTTGCGAGAAATGATTGTGTGAGGGTAACCACCCCCCACACTGGGGTCTTTTAAAGATGTTTGCAGCTAAGAATAACTTTATGCATTCCAAAACTGGTGTTTAAGTACAGCAAAAAAAATAAAAAAAGAGGAAAGATTTGGTTTTAAAATGAGGCATCTGGAAGAATGGATAATAAAAGGGGAAGAAAGGAACGGAATAAGAAAAGCCAGAAAGAATTAACCAAGGAAATTAAAAGTGTGTTTCTTTCTGCGACAAAATGGAGGGGATTTATTTTTTCTTTCCCTAAACACATTGACAGTGTGTATTTGGCAAAACGGTGAATTAAGGAACAAACTGCGTTTTTCACAAGAAAAGTGGCATGGAAAAGTGGCTTTTTGCATTTCTGGATCCGTCTCCAACGCCTCTGATAGGGAGTGTGATTCATCACCGCAAAGGTTACAGCCTTCCTTCCATGTGCCTGAAGAGAAGCTTAACATTTGGTAAAGTAAATTGATTTTTAAAAGGTTCCAATTACAGTTTGCCTGAAATGAAATCTCTCCCTCCCTGAATCCTTTTTCAAAGGTTCTTCAAGAACCTCTTAAAAGCTCAGTTGCTAAGAAGGAGCGGTTCTCGTATTTAAGGCCCAGCCTGACTGGCCTCTGGGGGGGTAGTGTGGATGGACCACATCACCCTCTGGAAAAGTGAAGAACGCCGTCTTAAAATGATCCCCTCCCCAAAAGTAAAAATCCCCCTCCCCAATTTTCCCTGATTTTTCTCAACAGACCAGAAACATTATGCTTTGAGTTTTCCACTCGGGGAGAAATTGTAATGTGCATAAACATATACGGACACCGGTTTCAAGTAGTCCTCGATTTAAGACCACAATTGAGCCCAAAATTTCCATTGCTAAGCAAATCAGTTGTTAAGTGAACTTTGCTCAATTTTGTGACCTTTCTTGCCACGGTTCACTGAAGTTGTTGAGTGGATCTGGCTTCCCTATCGACTTTTGATTGGCAAAAGCGGATCAACATGACCCCGGGCCACTCCAACCGACATTAATACATGCAGGTTGCCAAGTGTCGGAATTTTGATCACGTGACAAGGGGATGCTGCAATGTCGTAAGTGGGGGGGGGGGTCACCTTTTTCAATGCTGTTGCAACTTTAAATGGTCGCTAAACGAACATTTTAAAAAAGGGCCATGAATAGCCTTTAGAAGGCTTGTAGAGCGTTCCCGGGGGGGTGGTGGTGAAACCGAGCAAAAACCAGGCCATTTCTCACAAAAATGGGCCATTTTTTGTCAAAAAAAGGGCATGAATAGCCTTTAAGAGGCTTATAGAGTGCTCTTAGGGGCTGGGGGGGGGGGAAGTGAGCAAACGGCCCATTTTTTGCTCATTTCTGCCCTCCCCAGCCCCCAGGAGCACTCTGAAAGTCTCCTAAAGGCTATGCACAGCCATTTTGGTGAAGGGGGCAGGGTTTCAGGAGGCAAAAAATGCTGTATTCAGTATATAAGACACACCCAGATTTTCAGCCTCTTTTTTGAGAGAAAAAGGTGCGTCTTATACTCCGAAAAATACAGTATGTAGACAGATATTCTGGCCGCAAGGTAGATTTGATTCCAGTTCTGGATCTGTGTGCTTTGTGGGAAACTTGATTTGATAAGTGCATAACGGATAAAGCTGTCCCTACAGCAGGCAGAGAAGTCATATAGCCTGGGGTCTTTTTATGCAGATTGAACTGTCTTAATTAAATATCCATTCTATGTTTACTTAGAATCCTGCAGGTAGTCCTCTTTTTAATGGCTGCCTCATTTAGTGACTTTTCGCCATTACGACAATGATAAAAAAGTAACTTTACAGCCAAATTTTGCATTTATGACCAGCTGTATAAGCCAAAAGAAAACTGAAGTAAAATCATAAGCACAGTTTCGCTCAGTGACTGCTTCACTTAATAACTGAGTTGCCAGTCCTAATTGTGGTCACTAAATGAGGAGTATCTGTGTATGGATGGCTGAAAGGACAAGCAACACATCAAGCGGGAGCAGATGCATCCTGTGGGTGCACAATAATTATGGGTGCATGAGTTAAAAAGGCCCATACAATGTATTGTTTGGAAATTCAAGAGGACTCTGGCAAGGCCCCCTTGTGGTTCTGCAATCAAAATAGGTGAACATCCTCACGTCAAAAAAACCCACATTAACTTGTTGCTGAACCAGTGGTAGTAGCCGGGAGCAGCCGGTACGGTGGCTCATTTGGTCCACCCACCCCACCCGCGTTCCATACCTATTTTGAAAGCAACCGGCCAATTATGCATGCACGCACAGTGTCCAGCTCCCGTGCAACCTCTGACAAGCAATTGGGTGTCGCAGGGGTGGTGGAGTGCACATGCGCAGCGCACGTGCACGACTAGGACACCCGGCCCCATGCGTAGCATACCGGTAGCAACAGGGAGAGGAACTCACCACTGTGCTGAACCATCCAATCAACATGACAGGTAATCCTCAACTTACGACCACTTTTTTAGTGACTTTTGCTGCATCCACTGATCAAGTGGCTGACTGTCTTGTCTTTCTCATTACAGAGGCCACATTTTAAATTTATCAGACTTGAATATTCTGATTCTACAAAATAACACCCTACTTGGAACAGCTTATATCCTTCGACATTACCTTAACA